GGGGGGGGGGGGGGCGCGGGCAGGTGGAGTGGGGTGTCAGGCGGCCGAGTCAGCTGATGTGGAGGGAGCGGGGGACGGCGCAGAGAGCAGACCCTGTCAGCTGTCGAGCCGACGATGCCACATGCAGGCTCACAAGGAAATGTCCCTTGCGAGTCCGTGCATGCCAGGTGGCCGGCCGGCGGGGTGCGAGGCAAAGCGGGCCCGGGGTCCGGGGGTGGAAGGAGGGAGCCGGGGAGGGGGGCGTGTGAGAGCACGCACCTGGAGCACCGATCCGAGGTTGAAGCCGACGCCCTGGTTGCGCTGCGACTCGCGCAGCATGACCACCAGCGCGGGGATTACGCCGGCCGACACGCCCAGGGCGCGCACCGCCTCCCTGCGGGGACCAAGCCAGGCGGCGGGGCGGCTCGTCAGGCGGACGCCCGGGGCGTTTCCTAGCCCACGGTGGAGACGCGGGTGCAGCTGGACAGGGGGGGGGGTGCTGTGTTCCCGCGCCGCGCCGCACCTGGCAGACCCGCGCGTGGAGACCGCCAGCCGCCCCAGCATCCAGGCCATGTGGGCCTGCGCCTTAGTGACCGGCTCCGCAACGCCAGGCGCCGCGGCGGCCGCCTCGACGCCGATGTCGCGGCCGGCGTCGGGGCTGCCCTCGCCCCACATGCCCTGGTACTCATGGTAGTCAGCCCACCTGTGAGTAGTAGAATCAGTAGTAGCGGTTTTAGTAATACTAGGGTGAGAGTGTGTGCGACTGAGCTTGTTTATGCAAGTTGTGCATGTGAGAGACGTGTGTGTGTGTATGTGTATGTGTATGTGTGTTGTGTGTGTGAACTAGCATCTCAATTGGGCTGGCTTAGGGCACCGGAACTAGCGCACTGGCGGGTTGCAAGCTGAGACTCAGCTGGGCCATTTGCAGCGGCCCCCCAGCCTTGGCTGATGATCGACGCTGGTGATGCTGGCCTTTGCGCACGGCCCGTACGATCCCCAACCCCCCATCATTTGCAAGCCTCAACCCTCAGCTGGGCTCCCAGGCCGATGAGCTCACACGCGCTCCTGGACCCCGAGCCGGCGCGCCCGTCGGCCCCCAGACAGACCAGAGCCCGCAGGCACGGCCCAGCAGGCATGCGGCGCAAGGCGGGCGCCGAGAGGCATGCGTTGACAGCCCCGACCCTCACTTGAAGTACGACTTGGTGCTGTCCAGCCCCTTGGTCGCCCGCCACGCCGCCGCCACGCGGTCCTGCTCCGTCATGCCCGAGCGGCTGTACGCCGGCGGCGCGCGCAGCAGCGCGGCGACCGCCAACAGCAGCTCGGGGCAGGAGGCCAGCTCCTGCGCGGTGGTGGGCTCCTGGAGGGGGGGGGGCGGGGCGGAGGGTGAGGTTCCCAAGAGTCAGGGTGGTGTTTTTAGATCAGCGACGGGGTGGTGTGGTGGGCAAGGGGAAGGGGAGGGATTGTGGGGCGTTGCAGCGAGCGAGGGGCAGACGTTGGGGGTCCTGCATTTCACCACCAGCAGCCGGCCGCGGCGCACCTCGGAGAGCACGCGCAGCAGCCGCGCCGCCCACAGCGCGCCGGCCGGCGTGCGCTTGGGGTCCGACAGCACGCCCGCGAGCGCGCCAACGGCGCCGCCGCGCGCCATGAGGCGGCAGCGCACGGGCTCGTGCGTCGCGAGCTGCAGCAGCGCCTCGCAGGCCTGGGCGCGCGCGTCGGGAGAGCCCTCATCCAGCAGCCTGGGGGAGGGCGCGGGG